CATGTGTGTTTAGTGCCCACAGAGGCTAGAAAAGGGTATTGGATCATCTGAACTAGAATTACAGATGGTTGTGAGCCTCTATGTGGGTGCTGGGAACTGAACCCAGATCCTCTGCAAGAGCAGCAAGTGCTCTTAACTGCTGAGTCATCTCTCCAGCCCCATTGACAGCCCCAATTTTTGCCTTTCATCTCTACACATAATCTAAATTATTTTGCTATTAACTTTTATTATCACAAACATACTTTTCATATAGAAAATAATTTGGAGACAGGATTGCTGTTGTTATACTGGCTGACATGGAATTCATGATCCTTCTTGCCCAACTTACCAAACAATCAGAACTAGTTACTTATAACTATCCAGGCAATTTCTGTGTCATTTTGAATGGTTGTATAGTATTAGTGGATTGCTTTAGAATTACTAACCTGTACAAAATTGTAATTGGCTATAATATTTACTATTAAAATAATAGATTGAATATCTTGTGTAGAAACATTTGTGCCCATGTTTAATGTTATCTTTCCTTTTTGTTTTGAGACAGGCTCACTCTCTAGCCCAGACTGGCTTGGAACTCACTGTATAGCCTAGGCTAGCTTTGCATTTGCTGCAATTCTCCTGTCTCAGGCTCCCCAGTGCTAGGATAAAAGTGTGAGCCACCACTCCTGGGTTCTTAATGGAGAAAGGAAAGTTTCTTCTGCAAACAGTGATGGGGAAACTAGATGTTCATATTCAAAAGAATAAAATTAGGAAAAAGCTTTATGACACTAAACTTGGCAATAGTTTCTTTGATGTAACACTAACAGGCTACAAAAGCAAATATTGGTAAAATAGGGATATCAACCTTAAAAACATATGTGACACAACAACCAGAGTAGAAACATGACACTTGGAGAATGTCATCAAGGAAGTTTGATAATGTGAAGATTATATGGAAGAACAAGAAAATGCCTCAGGCTAAAATGAACGAAGCCCTTTGCTACAATCTGAAAGTTTATGTGTCTCCAGAATTCAAATCCTGGAACCTAATGCCCAGTGAGATGTCTGAGCTTTGGCCTGTTGGGAATGATGAGGATGAGGGCACTCCTCCTGGATGCTATTAGGGCTCTGATGAAAGGTGTGGCTGGAGCCCTTTCACCACATGAGACCACAGAGAAGGTGGCCTATGAGGGAAAGACCTTTACCAGACACCAGAGCTGTTGGTGCCTTGATACTGACTTCTTGCTCTCCAGAATTTGGAGAAGTAAATTTAGGGTGTTTACAGATGACTAATGCTAAGAGAACAGGAATTAGGCTTGAAAGAAGGTACACAAATGACTAAGAAGCATCTGAAAGTTATTCAACATATGTAATCATTAGAAAAATACAAATCAAGAACAGAATATTGGCAGCTCTCCTTTGAAGAGTCCATACCCACCCACACTTGGGTTTTACTTTCCGCAGGTCTTCTTAGAGAAGACCACACCTATAGCTGGAAGTTTCTCCAGTCCTGCCCAGCCCCATTGCCCCGCAGACGCTTATAATTACACAGAGGCTTATATTAATTACAAACTGTATGGCCTATGGCTTTAGCTTCTGGCTAGCTAGCTCTTTGATCTCAAATTAACCCATTTCTATAAATCTACATGTTGCCACGTGGCCATGGCATTACTGGTCTGCTGGCATCTTGTTGCTCCTTCAGCATCAAGCCTGCTGGCTTCTCTCCCAACTCCTTTCTCCTTTCATTATCTCTCTTGAATTTTCTCACCTGGCTCCATCCTGTCCTGCCATAGGCCAATGAAGCTTTATTAGCCAATGGAAATAACACATATTCACAGCATACAGAAAGACATCCCACAGCACACACCCATGCTCTTAGGTGTAGCTTACTTTCCTCTGGGTACCCCTCTTTCTCTTAATCCTTGTGTTTAAGCCTGTATTAAAATACTTGAACTCCAACTGTGCTTTATAAAAAGAACAAAATGTCAAATTGCACATGCATTAAGATCACTAGTATGTGGTTCTTCACTGTCCCTCAACATTCTATATAAATTTTAGGGTTCTCTTTTCCATTTCTAGCAAGCTATCCATTAGAATTTTTGATAGGAATCACATAAAATAAAGAGGTTTCTTCAACTAGTATGGAAGTATGGACAACATAACTATATTGAATCTTCTAATCATGCACAAATACATTTTCCACTTATGTGTCTATAACGTCTCTCAGCAATGTTTTCAATTATCAGTACAAGCCTTTCACCTCCTTAATTACATTTATTCTTTGTTTCTTTTTATACTATTCAAAAATGAGTTCCATAGTTTTCTTTTATAATTCTTTATTGTTAATATATGAAACAACTGATATCTTAGTGTTGATTTCACAGCACACAACTTTGCTGGTTTTGTTTATTAGTTCTGACAGGTTGTGTGTTGGAGGATAAATATTAGGTTTCTCTCCCTGTATCTCATTGTGTGTGTATCAGGGGGTGGTGTGCAGGTGAAAAGCATGCCTGAGTGTACATGTGGAATCAGAGAACTACTTCTGGTGTCAGTCTTGACCGTCAACCTTGTTTTGAGACAGAGTCTGTCATTATTCACTGCTTTGTATACCAAGCTAGTGAGCTTCAAGCTTTCAAAAATTCTACCTCTGCCTTCCATCTCCTTTTACTGGTTGTTGGAGACAAACTGCATCTGACTTTCTAATGTGGGTTCTGGGATCCAAACTGTATATAAGGTCAATCTACTCATAAAGAGGGATTTTTTTTCTTTTTCATTTAGATGCCTTTTATTTCTCTTGCCTAATTTCTCTTGCTAGAACTTCCAGTGCCTTGAGACTAGAATTGGGGAAAATGACATCATCGCCTTATTCCCGATCTTTAAAAGAAAATTTCCATTTGCCAATCTATACGAAGTTGCCCCTGGGCTTTCCTTACAGGGCTATCGAGAGATAAATTGCTTCTATTTTAAATTGAGTGACTTCATCATAAAAGGTTATTGGACTCATCAAATGCTTTTTTCTGCATCAAACATTATGGTCTTATGATTTCTGTCCCTTCTTTTAATTTACTGTATCTCATGACAGAGTTTTGTATCTTGACCCTAGATAAAAAACATTTTTGGGGAGCTATAGAGATGGCTCAGTGGTTAAGAGCATTTGTTGTCTTCTAGAGGACCTGGGTTTGGTTTCCAGCATCTACATGGTGGCTCCAAACCATCTCTAACTCCAGATAAAGACAATCTGATGCCTTCTTCTGGCATCTATAAGATATCAGACATGTACATCTTACATATACATACACGCAAGCAAGATGCTCATAAAATAAATAAAATCTTTTTAAAAAATCCATTTGCATCCCTTTACATTCCAGAATTAAATCCAACTTGATCATAATATATAACCTAATTAATGTGCTGTTCAATTTACTTGTATTGAGGATTCTTGCATAATTATTAGGAATATTGGCCTGTAGTTTTCTTTTTTTAATTTAACTTCTTTATTGATTCTTTGGTAGTTTCACATCATGCACCCCAAATCTGCTCACCTCCTGGTCCTCCCATATTCTCCCATCACCTCTGCAGCGCCCCCACACACACGAGAAAACAAAACAAAGTAAAGCAAGGAAGCAAACAAACAAAAACAAAACAGAACAGAACATAAAGAAAAAAAACTCTTTGCTTCTTCTTTCCTGTCTCTCCAGCCCCTTTTCGTTCGTCCTGGTGACATTGGGGGCTCTCAGTGTCCTATCAGCTTTACTAGCAAATGTTCACTGCAATGAGTCATTGGTCTGGTTCAAGGCCTCTGGTTTCTGGTACTCCATCATCACTGGATAGTTTACTTACAGTATGTTTGGCATTGGCATCAAGGTAGTGATGGCCTTATAAAATGAGTTTGGGGGTTCTTCCTCCAGCATATATTTTCTAAAAATTTGCAAAGTACTGATGATTTTCCTTTATATGCTTGGCACAATTTCAAAAGCTCTCTGGTTCAGGAGCATGTTTCTGACCTCTCCTTTGTTCTTGACAACACTTGGGCATCAGGTTAGAAGCAGGAGAGACAAAGACCAATGCTTTAGGCAGCCTCCAAAACTGCCCCTGCCTTCTCTTTTCCTTTCAATGGGGAAGTAGTGAGTGGGATTACTCCCCCCCCCCCGCCCCCGCTGTGCCAGCTTGGGGATGGGCTGCCAGCAGCACAATGCACACTAGCAGCTTCCACTTGTTTCCAGGCCATTGTTCTTGACTTTCCCCTTGCATGACTGCCACATCTTCTTAATTGGCACACAGAGTTCCAGGAAGGCCTTTAGGCTGTTTGTTATTGTTCAGTTCTGGTGTGTCTGTGGGGTCCAGGCTCAGGATTCCCATTCCAGCATCTTAACCAATATCACTCTATTCTTTTGAGTGGAAAATATTTCTAACACATATGTTTAGCTAATTCAATGCTCATAGTAAAACCAAATAATTTTTTAAATTGAGGATCGAGGGGTTTTTTTTTGTTGTTGTTTACCTTTTAAAATACACAATGACTTAATATAAAATATTTATTCATTTGAAAACCTAATTGACTCATCTATATTTAGGCTTAACTGTAGCATACAAATGTTTTATGTGGTTGTTCTTGGTAAGTTGTTCTTTCTACATTTAAGTGTGTTTTACACACAGCATATCAGAATTGTCAGCATGGCCTGAGCAGCCCACATCAATGTTCCTGTCGCTCGCTCTCCCATTTTCTCCCCTACAGGTCTGATAGGTTGAGAGTAAGGAGAGCACATGATTTCTTTGTTTTCCATTCCATTTATACAATGGATATTTTCAGTTGTGTGTTTATATGAAATTATTAAGAATAGACATTTAACTTCAGAGAGCTCTGAATATGTTTCACACATGCCACTATTAAGGGTACAATTTTGTAATTTGTTCTATGAAATGTTATTCTTCCTCATGAACCACTGTAGGTCTTATTCTGTAATGTACAGTGTACATGAAAATATTTCTCAGTGAAAAGTTTCTTTTATTTTGTGCCCTTACAGGTAGTGTAGTCAGCAATATCCTATCATCCTTGCGGGATATATTTATTGGTGTGCTGGTAGGAATTGTTATGGGAGTTTTTATTCAGCATTTTCCAAGTGGAGATCAGGTAAATAAAAAAAAGTGGTTTGTACAACTTTAGTGTGTTAATCAGCCTCCCATCACTGTAATGAACTACCTAGTATACCCTTAATCTTTAAAACAGAAGGTTTATTTAGCCCACAGTTTGGGGGGTTGCAGTCTGCTACAGACCTCCCTCATCACCCTGGCAGTGTACCACTGCAGGAAGGAGCGGCAGAGCAAAGCTAACTATGTCATGAACCCTGGAACACAGCAAGAGAAGGAAGGGACTGGACCCTAACAACTTGCTTAGTAGCATGCTTCCCTGATTTCCAGGGGTCCTGCCATGCCCCATACCACCACCCTGAATCAAGCTTCTAATACAAGGACTTTGGGGGACAGTTCACGTCCAAGCTACAGCATGGGTGCAGCATAAAGCTTCCTGAGACAACTTTAGAAAGACTTTGAAACAAAAGTCTATGCTTAAGACTCTTTCCCCAAACGTTGCCTCTGATGCCTACTGTATGCTTAAAACCGAGCCTAATAGTGGCTGATTCCAAGCAGTCTTGGTTAACGTTGCTGTGTCTTGATCTGGTAGATTAAAATACTGAGAACAGTGGATGTGACTCCCCTCTTCCTTCCACTCCACCCCCACTTCCACTAAATCATCTATTGATCCTCGACAATTTTCTTAGTCTCTTTTTCCAAAACTTTCTCCTGAACATCTTTGCAACAGAGATAAGTTCCAATTTACCTATTCATATTTTCTGATTTAAATTTGCCTCCTTCCCCTTTGACAAGGGTTTTAGACCTGGTTGTTGTTGGTGGTGGTGGTGGCAATTTTGAGACAAAGTCTCTCTCTATATGTAGCTGAGTCTGGTTTTGAACTCAACAATTGTCATTTGTAATTGTTTGCAATTTGGTAACTTGCATCAAAGTTATCAAATCTTTTAAATAAAGAAATCTTCAAACAATTTACTTTGAACAACTCATTGTTGGAGGAACTGTCTCCTCACTTTTCAGGTAGTCTGGTAAGCATTTTCGTGTTGCTGTCAGCACTGTGTAAAGAGGGAAAGTCTCATATTTGATGAATTACTTGGTTTTGAATTTGCTGAAAGTTTTGATGCAAAATCAAATCAACATTTTAGAGACTATTTAATACAACCTTTACAAATATTGTAGCAAAGGGTAAGAAAAAGATAATGCTACATCTTGTATGTTTAATGTAAAACAACTTCTAAATATGTATTTCTAGGAGAGACTTACGCAGAGGCGAGCCTTCCTTGTTCTGAGTATCTGTGTTTCTGCTGTCTTAGGCTGTCAGCACTTAGGCTTACATGGATCTGGAGGACTGGTCACACTAGTGTTGTCGTTCATGGCAGCAAAAAAGTGGGCTAAAGAGAAGGCGAGTATTTCTAATTTCTTTAGAGATGAAATAGCTGAATTTTGAACTATATAACGGGCATTTAGAAAACTGCCTCCCTCCATCTAGTGGAAGATGTTCCACTTCCCCAGGATGTGCGTGGAGTGAGGACTTATGCATTAAAGAAAACCTCTTTGAACTATAGTAAAATGCAATTAGAACGTGTGTTCTCACATCAGGATTTCCTCTAAGTTTTATGTGATTTGATTATATAGCTCTTATTAGATACTTTATTTTTTATATTTTTAGTTCTACAATTTATCCATGAAAACATGTTCCTAAAATTTAGCATATCTGTGCCCCAAATGCTATATTGGGTTTTGTTTTTTATTCTATTACACTAGTTAGTACTTGAATTAAGTTGGCTAAAAGTGAATATTTATTCTGATCACTATTTGTTTTGGCTTTCCTTTCATTGAATGAACTTGTTTAATTTATACTTCATTATTATTATGATTATTACATTTATTTATGGGAAGGGCAAGGAGGTCAAAGGACAACTTATAGAAGTCAGTTGTTTCTTTCACTGTGTGGGTCCTGGTACTTGAACTCAGGTTGTCAAGCTTTTGTGACAGGCAGCTTTACCCACTGAGACATTGTACCTGCTCAACTTATACTTATACTTTTTTTTTTGTTTTTGTTTTTTGTTTTTTGTTTTTCGAGACAGGGTTTCTCTGTGTAGCTTTGCGCCTTTCCTGGAACTCGCTTTGGAGACCAGGCTGGCCTCGAACTCACAGAGATTCGCCTGGCTCTGCCTCCCGAGTGCTGGGATTAAAGGCGTGCGCCACCACTGCCCAGCAATTTATACTTCTTTAACTGATGGCATAAAAATGGTACAAAAAGGAAAACATGTTCATAAAGATTAAAACATATAGGCCGGGCGGTGGTGGCACACGCCTTTAATCCCAGCACTTGGGAGGCGGAGGCAGGCAGATCTCTGCGAGTTTGAGGCCAGCCTGGTCTACAGAGTGAGATCCAGGAAAGGCACAAAGCTACACAGAGAAACTCTGTCTCGAAAAAAAAAAAAATGATTAAAACATATAGACTGAATGCAAATGATTCCTTTATTCCTTACTCCCCCTAAATATTCAGCTTATTCTCCTAAATTAATCATTTTAACCAATACTATATTTATAGATATGTATATATATTCTGTTTTTAAAATAAAAATGTCACTACCATGAATGGATTTCTTTTTTTTTTTTTTTTTTTTTTTTTTGGTTTTTTTTCGAGACAGGGTTTCTCTGTGTAGCTTTGCGCCTTTCCTGGAACTCGCTTTGGAGACCAGGCTGGCCTCGAACTCACAGAGATCCGCCTGGCTCTGCCTCCTGAGTGCTGGGATTAAAGGCGTGCGCCACCACCGCCCGGCATGAATAGATTTCTTAATGTAGCCTTTTCATATATACAAGTGTCCTGTAGGGATAGATTCATAGAAATGGGATTTCTAGGTTAAAAAAAAAATAGTCTTTATTTTGACGGCTACTGCTAAATTATCACTTGGAAAGATTTTCAGTACTTACACTCCTGCCAACAGAATAGGAATGTTACTGAAAATAATTTTGAAGTACTCAACATGAGTCTTAGGAAGCAGGCCTAGCAAAGTACCAGAGTATTTTCTTCCTGCTTGTTTATGACCTATCTAAATTCATTTCATACACTGGGTTCCAGAATTGTCATTTGGCAGGTTTTCCTACACCCTTCTGAGGGACCGGGAGGCTGAATGAGCTGGGTATGTTCTCATCCCACGTGCTGTGTTTCTGTCCCTAGTTCTGAATATTATGAGGACTCCAAAGACTTTTCCTTTTCTGGAACACAGTGATGAGATGATACTGCTTATTGTATGGCTTTGTTTGTTTCCTTAACCAAATTCTGTTTGAATAAATGACATTGCTCAATTTTTTTTTTTGTTTTTGTTTTTGTTTTTTGAGACAGGGTTTCTCTATGTAGCTTTGCGCCTTTTCCTGGAACTCACTTGGTAGCCCAGGCTGGCCTCGAACTCACAGAGATCCGCCTGGTTCTGCCTCCCAAGTGCTGGGATTAAAGGCGTGCGCCACCACCGCCTGGCACATTGCTCAATTTTCATAAGTTAAGTTTTAACATTTTCCCTAAAAATGAAGTATCATCAGTTTATTAAATTTTAAAAATGTCTTTAAATTTCTGAAATGTAGCCAAATGCATGTACACAATAACCAAAAAAATGTAAAATTCCGAAGTGCAGTTATGCCATAATAACTGAAATGCATTTCTCTTTCTTATAGGTTGGAATCCAAAAAATTGTCGCAAATATGTGGAATGTTTTTCAGCCACTTCTTTTTGGCTTAGTTGGAACAGAAGTATCTGTTGAAGCTCTTGAATCGAAAACTATTGGTAAGAGTACATAAAGCACAGAAGATATAAACGGATTTTTAAAATTATGAGTACTTTATTTTTCTGTATACCATACCTTTGAGTAACCTTAAAGACCTTCAAAAATTACACTGAAGCGCATCTGCTGTCTTTTCCTCTACCTGTGCATTTCTTTGTTTTCATCAAAGACAACCCAAGTGATCCAAAGAAAGGGATTACAGGAAACATTAGCTATCATTAGATGCTTCTGACTGCATTCCTTTAAACATGTCCCCCAAAAAGGCAGTTCACAATTAAACGCATTCCATTCAAAATATATTACCTCAAGTGAACTGACTGTCCTGTCATCCTCTTTCTTTTCACGGTACTCCCACCTCACATAATCTAAACTGTAGTAGAAGCCTCTGTAAAGGCTGGGGAGATAGCTTGGCTGGTAAATTGCTAGTCATGTGATCCTTAGGACCCATAGATGATCCCGGACACCCATGTAAAGCCCAGTCTCAGCAGCACTGGGAGGTGGAGACAGGAGAATCCCTGAAGCTTGCCAGGATAGCCAATTAGTAAGCTCCAAGGTCAGCACCTTGTCTCAAAAAGAAGCCATTGAGGGCTAGAGAGATGGCTCAGTGATTAAAAGAGGACTTGGGTTCAATTCCCAGCACCCACATGACAGTTAACAACTGTCTGTAACTCCAAGATCTGACACCCTCACACAGACATACATGCAGGCAAAATACTAATGCAAATGAAATAAAAGTAAATAATTTTTTTTTAAAAAAAAAAAGAAGCCATTGAGGAAGACACCAAACATAAACCCCTGGCCTGCGTAAGTGCACATGTACACTCCGACACACCCCTATACACATATACACACTCAACAACACCTCATTTTTACTTTGTATGCTTTATAATTACTGTTATTTACTTAAAATAGATATAGTGAAGCAACAGCCTCAAAATATTTTCAGAAATTTTAGAATTCATCTCTCTAGGCAAAAATAGCTTCCTCCCAAATGCTTTGTTTTTTACATTTGTTTATATGTATTGTAGGCATGTGTATTGCTACTTTGGGTTTTGCATTATCGGCTCGAATTATAGCCACTTTTACATTGATGTCTTTTGCTGAATTTCGTTTTAAGGAGAAAGTATTTATTGCTTTATCATGGATCCCCAAAGCTACAGTCCAGGTAGGAACATACTCAGTCATTAATAATAATTTTAGTTTGGACAAGTTTTAAAAGTTCTAAATGAGGGCTGGAGAGATGGCTCAATGGTTAAGGGCACCGGCTGCTCTTCCAGAGGTCCTGAGTTCATTTCCCAGCAACCACATGGTGGCTCACAACCATCTATAAGAGGATATGATGCCCTCTTCTGGCATGCAGAACACTCATACATAAAATACAAATAAATTCTAAAATAAAAAAAAAGTTCTAAATGAGGGCTGAAGAGATGGCTTAGCGGTTAAGAGCATGGGCTGCTCTTCCAGAGAACTAGGCTCACAACTGTCTGTAACTCGAGTCCCAGGGATCCAGCACTTTCACACAGAGTATATACAGGCAAAACACCAATGCACATAATAAATAAATAAATAAATAAATAAATAAATAAATAAATAAATAAATAAATAAAACTTTAAAAAAAAGGAAAGGTTTCCCATCTCCTCCCCATCCACAAGTTCTAAATGAAAAATATTTCTCTAATGACAAATTGTGCTTCCCATGTTTGATTGATAACTATTTTTTAAAATCTAGAACTGGGGAGATTGCTCAAGGGGAGAGAGTGTTTGCCATGCAAGTATGGAACTGAGCTTGGATCCCTAGCACCTACATGAAAACAGGCTTGGCTTCAGTGCCCGGAGTCCTTGGGCTGGGTGTGGGAGGGCAGGGCAGGGCAGAGATGGTTGGAGGACTGCCACGGCTTGCCAGCTGACAGCCCATTGGTAACCTGGGAGCTCCATGGCTCACAGGAATCAGGCAGAGTGACTAAGGGGACAGCTGACATCTGGCCTCCCCATGTGCACAAACAGGCACATACACTCGTGCATACTTGTGTGTGTGTGCGCGCGCACACACACACACACACACACACACACACAAAACACAACATTTAAAAGATTTGTTTTTAAAGCAATTGTTCTGAAATTTAGAAGAGTGCTTTTAAAGGGCAAATGATTTCTAAATTTTATGAAATTTTTTTTCTATTTCCCTAAAGTATGAAATAAGCCCAGGCATGGTGATGTATACCTTTTCCAGCACCTGGAAAGCAGAGACAGGCATTAACTCTGTGAGCTAATGGCCAGCCTGGTCTACATAGAGAATTCTAAGACAGCTGGGGCTACATAGAGAGACCCTGTCTCAAAAAATCTATACAATAAAATAACATCATAATATGGGGTTATTTTTCTTTGGCTGAATGCTATAGAGGCAAATGTTACACCTTTAGAGACACACTGGTTTCGTAAGTGTATCTTTCTGCACCCTGCCACTCACTCCACCGCACAATGCATACATGTTGGTTTTAATTGGACCTCTGTTTCTATGTCATATGACTGTGACTAACAGGAAGGACAGAGATAATGTCTTTTGGGGGCATTTTGTTTGTTTCCTTTCTTGTTTTTTCCCTACTGTTTGACACAATTCCTGGCAGGAGGAAAGTTGTCTTAATTAGGATTTCTATTGCTGTGATAAAACACCATGACCAAAAGCAACTGAGCAGAGAAAGGGTTTATTCATTTTATACTTCCAAATCACAGTCCATCATCAAGGGAAGCCAACATAGGAACTCAAGGCAGGAACCCGGCAGCAGGGAGTAAAGCAAAAGTCAGGAGAACCTTGCTTACTGGCTTGTTTTCCATAACTTGCTCAAGTTTGTTTTCTTATACCATTCAAAACGATGGGCATAAGCGTAGCACCTCCCAAAGTGGACTGGGCCCTGCCACATCAATCATTAATCAAGAAAATGAGCCAGACGGTGGTGGCGGCGCACGCCTTTAGTCCCAGCACTTGGGAGGCAGAGCCAGGTGGATCTCTGTGAGTTCGAGGCCAGCCTGGGCTCCTGAGTGAGCTCCAGGAAAGGCACAAAGCTACACAGAGAAACCCTGTCTCAAAAAACCAAAAAAAAAAAAGAATAAAGAATAAAGAAAATGCTACGGAGTTGCCTGTAGGTAGTCTGATGGAGACATTTTCTCAGTGGTGGTTCCTCTTCCCAGATAACTCTAACGTGTCAGATTGACAAAATACAAAACAAACAAACAAACAGAAAAACTAGCTAGGACAAAGGTAAACATGTCCTGCATACCTACACAAATAAATGATTGAATGAATGAAGACTTCGTAGTTTTATCCTCTTATTCTATAATACTTTCCTTCTTTTAGAAGGTATTGCTACTTACTGTTCAACTGTTAACATTTGATGGCAGCATAAAACCTTGCTTTCCTGGGATTTTTTCCCCTCCATTTTGCGGTTACAAAATAGAAGCTTGTACATTTCTCTTAAACAAATTCTCTATAGTGTTAGAACCACAAGCCTTTAAGGCCAGATTGTTGCTTTTGAATACTATGTTGCTTGCCTAGGCCTTTAGGGAGTTACTTCTTTGTCTCTTGGCTCATTGAATTCTTCCTTTTATATAAGGATCTATGACAATATCTACTGAATGGTGGTGGTGTGAGGTTGGATGAAATAATCCCTGTAAAGCTCTCAGTACAATTTCTGGTACACAGTGGTGTTCCATGAACAATATTATAGTTATTTTGTCTTACCTTGAAGTCATAGAATAACATGTTTTTTGGGCAGCAAACAATAGATCTATAAGAAGAATCTTCATCTGTCTGTCTGTTACCCTTCCTTCCATTGATACACTTGTGTTTTGGTTTATCCATCATTTCCTAAAGCAGAATGAAAACCAAGCAAGTATGAAGAAAGCCCACTACCCAAGCTGCTTTATTCTGCTTCCTCTTGTCCCTTTTCCTAGCATCCAAGCTAAGATGTATTCTGTACAAACATCAAGAACTGGAAAGACATATAGAAACTTTTTCCCCCAAACTCAAGATCTTGCGCATAATAGGCTAGTGCTCTACCACTTAACTATACCACCAACATTTTCCAGGCAAGAAGAACGTTGTGTCCCATATATGAGTTAGAACAAAAAATTTAAGTTTAACATTTCTTCCCATTCTTCTCTTTTCTGCTGCTGAAATAGTGTCTGTGACCCCTGAGCATCATAGACAGCTTCATCTGTCGTCTTGACACAAACCTAGTCACCTAGGAAGAAGGAATCTCAACTTAAGAGTTGCCTTGATCATATTGACTTGTCTGTGAGGCCCTTTCTTCATTGCTAATGGATATAGGACTGCCTAGCCCACTGTGGATGGACTGTCCCTAGGCAGGTTGGCCTGGGCTATCTAAGAAAGGACAAGAGCCAGAAAAGCCAGTAAGCAGCACCCCTCCATGGACTTTACATCAGCTCCTGCCTCAGGTTCCTACCATGGCTTCTCTCAGTGATGGACCATAAACTGTAAGATGGAATAGTCCTTTTTCTCTCCAAGTTGATTTTGATCAAGGTGTTTGTCACAGCAACAGGAAGAAAATTATGACACTAGTTGGTACCAGAAGTGTGGTGTGTGGTAGTGTTTGGAACTTTGGATTAGAAAATCTATTGAGCACTTGGAAGATAAGAATGCTGAAAGAAATTTAGACAATGGAGGCCTAGTCTGTAAAGTTTCAGAGGGAATTTTGAGAATCCTGCAAAGATTCTGTCAGTACTGTTAATATGCTATATTTGAATTAAGAATTTGTGGAAGTGAAACCTTGTGTGCTTTACTGGGACAAAGGATGCTGGTCAGCTGGGACTGAAGAATCAGCTGTGATTGATAAGAGACTGGTATTATTGAAGTGGAATTCTTGGAAGGAGTTCCTTAGAGTCAGCATACATACTGTGGTGGTGGTGGTGCAGAACTGCATCTCAATTTGGCAGCCAACCTTGGTAAAGTTTAAGAGTCTCCTGTGTGATACTGGTTTTTGCACCTGAAAGATGCAGGATTGAAGAGGTCATGGAGACAAAGTGAGGTGTGGCATCATGTGACAGGTTCTGAGTCTCCGAAGAAACCAGGAGAGGTCATTAGTGAAGGTGTAGCCTCAGTTTCAGAAGAGACCCCAGGATGTTTGAGATGCTGGAGCTGTGGGACATGATCCAAAGACAGTGGCAGTTGTGGGGTGGAGATTTCTGGAATGGAGCCAGCCTGAGCCTACTGGACAAGCTGTGTGTACTATAGAAGTGAGGCCACCCAAACCCTTTAGATCAAAAGATCATGAGTGAGTCTGTGATGTTGGAACTACAAAACATGAATTTACACTGATGGACTTTGGTTTTGCTTTGATCTGGTTGTAACTGTACCTTGATTCTTACCTTTTGGAATAAGCAAGTATGTAACTTTTTTTAGATTTATTTACTTTAATTTTATGTGTATGAATGTTTTGCCTGCATGTATGTGTGTGTACTACATGCATGCCTAGTGTCTGCAGAGGCCAGAAGAGCATATTGGATCCCCTGGAATTGGAGTTGAGACACTGGACTTTTGAAGTATTGAATTTTTTTTAAAGACTGTGGGACTTTTAAAATTATATTTTATATTATGATGTTAATAAGAGATATTGGGGACAAGCAAGAAGGAAAAATTATGGATTAAAGTGATGTGTTTGTGTGTCAAAGTTGACAGTGTGAAATGTCAACCTCAGCTGTCATCTTGACATAAACCAAGAATCACCTGGGAAGAAGGGGCTGCATCCCAAAATTGCCTTGATTGGATTGGCTTGTGGCCATGTTTGTGAGGCATTTTCTTCATTACTTACTGGTGTGGGAAGGCTTAACTGACCAGAGGTAGCACCATCTCTAGGCAGGTTGGCCAGAGTTATATAAGAAAGGTGGCTGACTGTGAGCCAGAAAGCAGGTCAGCAAGCCAGGTTCTCCCCTGGTCTCTGTCTCTGTTCCTGCCTCCAGGTTCCTGCCATGAGTTCCTGTCCTGACTCCCCTTCATGATGGATGACAGGTGTAAATAGAATAAACCTTTTTCTTGTCAGATTGGTTTTAGTCGTGGTGTTTATCACAGCAGTGGAAATCAGACAAGGACACTAAGCTTTAGACTTTCTCTCATGCCTTTAGTTAGAGATTCTGGTGAAAATTAGAGGGAAATGGTAGAAGATCACAAAGATGTTCACAGATGTAAACTCAGCTTGCTGTCTGAGTTTTCCAATGAAACGATAACTAAATCTCTGATGTTTAGTGAGGATATTTACCTTCTAATAGTAGTTCCCATGGGGCAAGTTTGTCAAAGGAGTAAATGAGTTAATACATGTAAAGCTTTAAGAATGGCACTTACTTCATGACAAACACTACATAATTGTGAAAATATTATTATTAATGTTACTATCATCATCTCTTAACATTTTTGACAGTTCTCTTATGTTCAAAACCTCATATAGATTTTAGTATTCTTTAGAACCTGTTTTCTGTCTGCTTCTTTTCTCCCTGGCATCTAACACACTGGCTTGTGTTCAGTAAAAAGTTATTCCATGGGGCTGGAGAGATATAGTTCATTGGTTAAGAGGACTCAGTGCTCTCACAAAGGCCTGGGTTCAGGTCCCAGTACCTACACGCCGGCTCACAACCGTTTGTTCCAGTTCCAGGAAATTAATGTCCTCTTCCAGCCTCTGAGGGTACCTCTGCATATGGCATGCATACACACATGCAAACAAGCACTCATTCACATAAAATAAAAACAGTTTAAAAGTTATCATTAAAAAAACCCTTAATGATTGATCTTCAGTGGAGTGGGGGGGTTCTTTTGCCATAATGTCCCACATGAGAAGTAACATTTCTACCATTATGCCATTACTGTACAATTCCATAGATGATGTGTACTTATATTTAATTCCTGGAAATTTTAAGGCAATTTCTTGCCTAGATTTGTATATGTAAATAATAAGTAAATATAAAGACAATAAATAAAAAATATAAACCAGCCACAGTAGCTGTAATTAGCCTGTAATTCTAGTACTCAGGAGGTAGACATGGGCTGTGCGGTGAGACCTTATCTCAAAAACAAAAGAAAATAAGTAAATAAATGATCAAAGATAACTAGCTGGGGGTTGTGAGTGGGAGGCATGGGCACCTTTCTGACTCAGTAGGAATTTAAAAGAATGTATCTCCTCAGGGGGAAAGAAGAGAGAAACTCAAAATTATCTGAATCCTTACTGTGTGCTAGGTATCCTTTGTAGTCTCCTGTTTCATTGTCATAACCATCCAGTGAGGTGTTGTGGTGCAGACAAGTGGTTAGGTCAATGACCTGGAGTCCCTGTTTAAGGGGTCACTCACCTGATTGGGCCAGAACAGGATTCAAAGGCAGTTTGCCAGATTCCAGCTCTGGCCAGTTTCCCATTCATCCCATACAGGAGGGACAATGGGAGGAGCACACACCCTGGAGACATCAGTGTTTGTGCTGTCTTGTTGCATACATAAACCTAGTGGCATATGACAAAAACGTGTAAGCCATACTGGTCCACTTGTAAGCCCTAAGTTCAGGGAACAGTGTGAGCACATGAAAGAGGTGCTGAGGTGGGAATTCCACGGGGAGAGGAGTACACAATTGGCTCCCAAATGTCTACTCTTTGATTTGTCCAGGTTGTTTTCTTCCAGGTATATTTGCTAGAAAATATACAATTAATGATTAAATGATAGAAATTACTCCATATTTGGTCTTTTCTCTCTAGTACTTTATCACTCAGTTTGATTGTGTGTGCTTTTATAACAAAGCCATTTATGTTTATCATATGTTAACTCTGAGTAACATTTTTCATTTGCTTTGTGTCTTCCCTTACTGCAGGCTGTCTTAGGTCCTCTGGCTCTAGAGAAAGCAAGGGACATGGCACCCCACTTGGAAGCATATTCGAAGGATGTGATGACAGTAGCCTTTCTAGCCATCCTGATCACAGCTCCAAATGGAGCTCTCCTCATCGGCATACTGGGACCCAAAATACTTGATCGTAGTGATGTGACAGGCCCTATAGAAATGGAGCTATCACAGTTTGAACATTAAAAAGTTTGCCATCACCCACCTGCTTCATCTAATGAATTATCTCATGTGACAGAAAAAAAAAAAAAACGTTACAGTACAGAAGGTTGAGATTGTTCATAGAAGCCTGGAGTCAGTAAATGCACAATTCCTATACAGGGTTTCCCTCTGTCTGACTTTTGCGTCCAAAGTAAACTTAATAAAAATAGTATTAAATAAAATGCTTTTTTAGTTTTGTATTTGCCTATTTTAAGAATAAAGTTAGTCAGCAAATACCGTAGAAAAATGCAAAGTAATCCTTAAGGCTGAATTTTATGTTGTAATACAAAATAAGCATAGTAAAAACTAAATGAACCCAGGTTGGGGATTTAGCTCAGTGGTAGAGCGCTTGCCTAGCAAGCGCAAGGCCCTGGGTTTGGTCCTCAGCTCTAAAAAAAAAAAAAAAAAAACACAATAACAAAAAAAAAATTAAAAAAAAAAAAAAACAACTAAATGAGAGGCTAAACTTCAAGTGGGAAGAGCAAAACCACCATTAGAGGCCAGGCCTGGTGGCACACCAGCCCTGGAGAGAGAGGCAGGAGGATGTCTGTGAGTTCAGGACAAACTTGATCTACACATCGAGTTCCAGGCCAGTCGGGGCTGCATAGAGAGACCTATGAACAAACAAACAAACAAATTAGCAAAAAAGCAAACTCGACAGGAACATAACACTCAAACTTCCCATAAGTCTCTGAGGAGACTGAAGTTTTAGGTAAACAGGTGACAGAACCAAGGCTTAGATCACTTCTGTGACAACCTTACCAGCTTTAGATGAAACACTGTCTGTAGTCAACTGCAGACATAAGATGAAATCACAAATGGTAATGAACTGAATACTTTCAACCCGTCCATTAAAAGCAGTCTGCAGAAATGAAGGTTAGTCGGTTAGTCTCCATTGAAGCTGCTCTTCATGAGCAGCAGTATTTTTCAATATTAGCAGAAGGGATCAGCCATGCCAGCCGAAAATTTGCTACAAACCAAGTGCGGCTTCAGTTGATTGCAAGATTCTTTAGGAAGAGTCATGCAACAGCTTCTCCAAAGAGGCAGCTGCATGGCTTGCTGTTTGGTGAGGGCGTCTGACTGCAACCCTGATGACTGAGTTTGCTCCCCAGACCCAGAAAGCGGAATGGCGAGGGCTGACACCACAAAGTTGTACTCTGGCCTCTATGTGTGCCATGGCACATTTACTCACACGGGCACATATGTATTTTTAAAAATAAAAGTTTCTCAATTTGCCTTATTTCATGGCCTCTTAAAAATTGTACAGACTTAACAAAATCCCAGTGCAGAAATTAACGTTAATGCAATTCCTCTTTTTGTCTTTGACATAGCAACATATTGAAGGGGCACCGAATGTAGAAAGAATCACACACCAAAGTGCTAGGGATGCAACTAAAATGGAAAACAATCAACTCTGTCACTACTATTAAGACCAAGGTGTTCTGAGAAATATGTAACCAGACCTAACAAAAATTTAAACCAATTCAGATAATTCTGAGCAAGGCAGCAGCTACAATTGTCTCATCTTTTTTTAATGCACTTTTAGGACACAACACAGGCTTCTTGACTTTCAGCACACAGCAAGTTCCAAGCCAGCCAAGATCCTGTCCAAGAAGAGCCTGTCCCCCACACCTAAATCCCAGTACTCAAAAGGCAAGTGCTGAAAATCAAAGCCAGCCTGGTCCACACAGCAAGTTCTAGGAGTGTCAGGACTACCCAGTAAGATGCTCTTCCAAAACAAACCAACTTTCTATTTTATTTTTTAAAGACTTATTATTTATTATGTATGCAGAAGAGGGCACCAGATTTCATTACAGATGGTTGTGAGCCACCATGTGGTTGCTGGGAATTGAACTCAGGACCTCTGGAAGAGCAGTCAGTGCTCTTAACCTCTGAGGCATCTCTCCAGCCCCAACTTCCTATTTTAAATTATTATTCTATTATGTGGCCTGCAATTTATAACGGAGACTAGGCTGGCCTCAAACTAAGACATAATGCAGGCAAAACATTCATATACATAAACATAATAAGTTAAAATGTTTAAAAAATTATGAAGCCAGGAGTGGCGGTGGATTCTATAATCCTGGCAATTAGTAGGATCACACAGAAAGGGCCAGCCTGAGCTACATAGTGAGCTCAAAGTAAGTGTCAGCAACCAGGGCTTTAAACTTACCATTTTCTGCTTTGGTGTGGGGGGAGGAGGGGAGGAGGTGGGGCGCTGCAAACATAGCTCAGCTGGTAAATGGCTTGTCTACTGGGATCCAGGATTCAATCCCAGTACCAATAAACCAGGAATAATCAAATGAGCTTCTAACCCCAACACTCAGGTGTAGCTGGAGTTTTTCTGGTCCTGGCCCACAGGACAAATCTCTCTCACCCGCCAGTCCCGCAGCTGCTCAGACCCAACCGAGTAAACACACAGAGACTTATATTGCTTATAAACTGTATGGCCATGGCAGGCTTCTAGCTAGCTGTTCTTATAGCTTAAATTAATCCATTTCTATCAGTCTATAAGCTGCCATGTGACTTGTGGCTTACCGGTACCTTACATCTCGCTTGTCATGGCGGAGGCTGGCAATGTCTCTGTGTCTCAGCCTTCCACTTCCCAGAATTCTCCCCTCTCCTTGTCCTGCCTATACTTCTGCTTGGCTACTGGCCAATCAGTGTTTTATTTATTAACCAATCAGAGCAACACATTTAACATACAGAACATCCCACAGCACTCAGGAAGTAGAGGCAGGAGGATTCAAAGTTCAAAATCATTCTCAGCTACTTGGGGAATCCAATATACTTTATTTTTAAAAGTGTTTTTACTGAGGCTGGAGAGATGGCTCAGCAATTAAGAACACTTATTGCAACAGGCCCAGGCGGGCAGGCGCCACTGTGATGACCAGATACATGGTGGAGAAATAGGAGGGAAGGGGAAGCTGAGCAGTCTGCGCACTGTGGAGAGAAGCAGAACTGAAGACAAGACAGTGGTGAGCAGTATGGATGGCCTATGCTGCCACCTGGGGCCATGTGATGTCTGGGCCTGTGCTGCCGCCAAGGGCCATGTCTGGGTCCTTTGGCCTACTGCAGCTGGGGGTTTATTGGCGCTGTTTGTCACGGCACGGGTGTGTGGGTTGACTCAGCAGGAATCCAGCTACAATTTGTGTTGACACCCATGTCCCCTGTTAACACCAAAGGCCAGACAGATACCCCAGAGTCTGGGCCACCACCTGAGGCCATGTTGATGTCTGAAGGCCATGCTGTGACCTGAGACCATGGTGATGTCTGGGCCTGAGCTGTGACCAATGACCATGTCTGTGTCTGTGGCCTTACTGAAGCAGGGATCTGAGATGATGTTACCACCTGGGGCCATGGGAGAGAGCTGCCCCTAACCCTCCCTGAGTGGGGGGGGGGGGTCTGTCCCAGTGGAGGCCCAGACTGACCAACTCAGATACCACCCAGGCCCACATTAGGGCTTTGAGTTGGCACTTCCCAACATCTACCTCATCTATGACCTGCTGAAGCACATGAAGAGACTGGTCCTGCAGAACCATAGCAACAGAATCTCCATGACTCAGGGGAACAGCAGGATATCTGAGAGAGTTTCAGTTAGGGTCCAGTATTGATGGTATACCAGAAGCCAGAGGCCTTGAACCAGATGAACAATTCCTTGCCGTGAACATTTGCAAGTAAAGCTCTTTGAGCAAAGGGATGTACTGCGTGACACACCGCACGCAGCTCCCAAGGCCACTAAGACAAATGGAAGGTGATGGAGAGGCTGGAAAGATGGAGGAGTGAAGTGTTTTTTCTTTTTTTCTTTTTTTTTTTTAATTCTTTTAAAATTTACTTTTTGGGGGAGGCCTCAAGGGTGGAGGGTGGACATGGAAGGACTAGGGAATGAGAGGGATTGGGGTACATGATGTGAAATGCCCAAAGAATCAATTGTTTAAAATGTTAAAAAAAAAAAAAAAGAACACTTATTGTTCTTGCAGAGGACCTTGTTCAGTTCCCATCCACGTGGTGGTTCACAGCCGTGAGTAACTCCAGTTCCCATGGATCCAACGCCCTCTGGCCTCCATAGGTACCTGAATACACATGGTGCATGTAAACTCACGCAGGCACACATACATATACACATTTTAAAAGAACTTTTACAAGAGCTAGGGTTGTGGCTTGGTAGAGTGCTCATCTAACATGCATGAATACATGAATTTGACTCCCAGCACTTCATAAAACTTATCATGGTGGCACATGCCTATAATCTCAACACTTGGGAAATGGAGCCAAGAGGGTCCAAAGTTCTAGGTCTTTATTGGATCTATAGTGAGTGTGAGGCAATCCTAGGCTGTATGAGTCTTGGTCTCGAAAACAAACAGACAAACAGACAAACAAAAACAGTAGGAGAGGCTTGCTGTGCAGATATGAAGATCTCAAATAGAAAGCCAGGGATGGTGAGTTCCCTTGTGATCCCCATGCCTGGAGGCACAGACAGATCCCTGGAGCTCTCTGGCTGGCCGGCTTTGCTTATTTTATTTTTTTTTGTGTGTATACAAACTTTTAAAAAATTCTTCTCATACAATACATCCTGACCCCAGTTTCCCCTCCCTCCACTCCTCTCACTCCTCCTCACCTCCCCTCTCTCCCAGACCCACTCCTCCTTTTCCCTTTAGAAAGGGCATGCCTCTCAGGGATATCAACCAAACATGACCTAGTACAGACTCCTTCAGGGCTCTGTGATCGCAGCTTCTGTCTTTGTAAGCCCTATGAGCCCTGCTTAGTTGATTCTGTGGGCTGTGTTCTCTTGGTGTCCTCGACCCATCTGGCTCCTACTGTAGTCTGAAGTTTTCCTGTGTCCCGTCCAGTCATACTTACAAACTATATGGCCTATGGCAGGCCTCTAACTAGCTAGCTCTTACATTTTAAGTTAACCCATTTCCATTAATCTATGTTTTGCCACGTGTTCCATGGCTTTACTGGTCTGTTGGCATGTTGCTTCTCCTTTGGTGGCAGCTGGC